AAAAGGGGGACAATGTTCCACGAGAGCTTCAGGCTCTGGTGAAGGAGTTACCGGACGTCCTGGAGAAGGTCGGGAAGGACGCAGCTCAGTTGGAGGAGCACATTCAGCTTTACGCTGCTTTCACAAACTTCGTGTGCGACTGGTGGGTTCAGCGTGCACACTCTCCTCTTATTGCACGTACACAAAAATACGAGGCGCATTCCTTCGACCCGTGCACGCATTTTTAGTTTCTGTAGTTGTGAAAAGGATTTTCCCTACAAGCAAGTTTCAGTTTGTGCTTTTAATTGTATAAAACTGACTTCACTGCTATTTAAACATGTCAACACGCGTGTTTGGAGCTGTGTCGACTTTGTTTCTGAACACGCTCTGCAGACTAAACCATCAATCAAACTTTCTCTTCTTCTGTTTAAATTAAAATCTAAAGTCAGAAACTGGATTAAAGTGCTATAATGACCTGTGTTAATCCAGCAGAAAGCACATTAATTAATCAAGTTGGTGTGATTTGTTTTTTCTTCCTGTTGCAGCAGGTGGTTGTTGTTGTTTTGCATCTCGCAGCCCCCTCGAATATTTGGCTACAACGAAGTACATTTAATTTAATTTGGTCTGATGGACTCGCGTGTTGTTGTCTGTAGGTCTGAACCAGTCCTGCCGATGCTGACTTGTGCCCAGAAGAAGGGGAACGTAACGTTCTATGAGTGGAGAACGGGGAACGTCCCAGCGGTGGTCGAACGCCCGGCGGTGGAGGATGCTCCTCCGGAAGCTGGGACTGAAAACACGGTTAGTTTAATCGCTGAATCAAAGACTTAACCTCCATCGTGTTTCATCCAAATCTTTGACATTTTATGGCAGAAATATCTTTACCCCCCCGAGGCCCATTGAGATGATTTGATTTATCCAGTGGGTTCATATTCTTAGACTTTAACAGACATTTTTATCTGGCTTCTGCTCATTTTAGGTCTTTTTTTTTTTTTTTTAGTGCCAGTGTGGAAAAATACCGTATTTTCCACCGTACACGTTACACCACCCTATAAGTCGCATCAGTCCAAATATGTCTAATAAAGTGGAAAAGAACATAAATAAGTCACTTCACCGTATAAGTCGCATCTATTAAGCTGATTTGACGGTTGCTCCAGGCAGACGAAGGTGACGCTCTATGGCAAGCCGAATGGGTCATTAATGGCCACTTTTATCTATTACATGACACAACGGCATGCCATACAACTCGAGTGTCATCTAGCGGTTTAAAATGGTATTGTTCCATATTTTCAATGTCAGAATGAATAAACGGTCATATCTGTCAAAAATAGTTTATAAATGTGGAAAAAATCCATAATTAAGTCTCTTCGGTGTATCAGTCACAGGACATGCAAAAAGTGTGACTTATAGGCTGGAAAATACCGTACTACTTTTAATGATAGCCTAAGAAACACACAAGAAAATAAATGTTTATTTTAGTGCATCAAAAATGTCTTATGTGTTCAAGAGTTTTAATAAAGTTAAACGCAGCTTTTTAAAGTTCCTCTTTCTTTTTATACTGCATGTTCAATCCAACAGATCGCAGCCGTTTCTCAACGTCTCCCGTCGTTATGGAAATAAAGCTCTTCGTCTGTTTCACATTTAATTATTAATCTAATTAAAAGTGAGACGGGTGTTTTTCGTGATGCTCGGGTTCACATTGATCCGGACACGACCGTTACTCCACCGCTCAGTTTTCTCTCAGTTTGGGTCGAGGGCTTTTAAAACAAATCCTCTGATGTTCTGAACTCATTCGCTCACATATGATGAGCTTTTGTTTTGAAGTATTCAGTAGCTTCTGCTAAATGTCCGGCTGCAGCAGATATTTAAGCGACTTTTTAAAATGTGATTTGTTTTAGATCGACTGGGGGGACTTGGGGACGGGAGCAGACGATCTGGGTGTGAGCGCAGTTGGGGATGGGGTGGACTGGGGCATCAGTCTGGAACCAACATCTGGGGTAAGAACACGACTAGTCACCAAAGATCACGATCTAAACCTTCCAGCCAACTAGTTTTAAAGGTCATGTGAAGGTCGTCGTGCCTGTTGAGCTCACGTCCTCCTTCTTGTACCTGTTCGTGATGAATAAATAAATCTAACGGAGATGGGATTATACGAGGGACAACAAAATAAAAATGTCTTCTTGTCTCCATCAGGACACTGGTGCGGGCGGCATCGACTGGGGCGACAGTGAAGCCACTCCAGTTGAGATCGAAATTGTAGACGCGGGCACCGGATGTAAGATGGTTTTATTTTCGTGAAGTTTTCAAACGTACTCGGCTCCAGAGGCTTCTGGTCACTAAAGGTGAGTTTGTTTTGATTCAGGTCCTGAGGGCGTTGCGAGGGGGGAGGACGCTCTGAGTTTACTGGAAAACTCTCAGTCACGCAGCCAGTTCATCGATGAGCTCATGGAGGTAGAACTTCACTCACCTTTGGTCAAATGACTGAAACCTGCTAAATATTTCTACATCACAAAACATGAAGCTGTCGCTTCAGAGTCAGTGAAATAAACAAGTTTTACTCCTGATGAACAAAACATTTCACTCCTCACAGCTAATGATTATTATTTCAGCTTGTAGCAGCTAAACTATTAACTTTTTTGTTATTTAATCAGTTTTTACAATACATGTTTCTAATGACAAAAAAATTAATATCACTCAGAAGCTTTTTGGTAGAAGGCGAGGGCTGCCGAAAAACAGGCAAATTATATAAAAAAATAACATTTAAATTTGGAAAACTATTCCACTTTTTACCCATTGGTTGTGAAATAGTCATGTAGATGTAATATTCAGAGATTATTTATTAAACACTTCTATACGTGTTTAAAGACTCTGGACCATCTGATTAGATCCGTTTGCTTTTTGTTAAATTGGTTTAAAATAAAATGTTTTTATCATAGCACTGATTTGCTGTAAAAACAGCTTGAGACTTAATCAAAATAACCTGAATAAAATCATTTGTACCCATAAAAGTGGCTGATAATTAGGTGAATTTATCATAACTGTGATATTTAGTTGTTCATACTGAGGATATAAACACAAGGATCAATGGAGGCTCCACGTTTTGGATCCAGGTGCAGGATATTCACTTCTAATGTGGGTCTTACTCCACTTTTATACAAACTAACTGAAAGAACAATTTGCTGGAGTTATTAACGTTCGGTATAATCCATGTCTGCCTTCAAGCAGCCTGATGTTTGCAGTTTTTATCGCTAAAAATATTTATTCAAACTTTATGAGAAAAGGTAAAAATCAGAGCTGATCCCAAAAGCAAGCAGCATGAAAGTGATGTCCGTCGTAGAGCGATCAGGCCGTTCTCACGTTTAAGAGATGTAATAAACGAGCTAGAATAAAGGAATAAAAACCGCTGGCCCACATGTAACATGAGAGGCAACAAAATCAGATTTATCAAAGAACTCTGCAGAAAATCACGTTACGGGTCGGAAAGCGTCTTCGCTTGAGCTTCTTCTAGAGTCCGTTCTAAATCCTTCAGAAGAGGTTGATTTATAGCATTTTTATATTATTTATATTTAAAAATCCAACATTAAAAATTATAAGCAGTCTGTACCATGAGTTTAATATTAAGTCTAATTTGCCTGGCCAGTTTTTAAAGAACATTGTCTTTTTGTTTGTTTTAAAAAATACCCATGATTTGACCGACGCTATAAATAAAATAAAACTAAAATAATGTGATGTAGTCTCTCGTTTTAGCCCCAAATTACAAAACAGTTGTCAAATTGATTCTTTTAGCAAAATGAGCCACTCAAAGCGATCGTGGGGCGTTCGTCTACAACTGATTAACATTTGGAATCAACCCATTTCAAGATGGCCGCCGTAGCTGATCGTCACAATGTCAAATTAACTGGTTTTGTGTTCTGGTTCCAGCTGGAGGTGTTCCTCACCCAGCGCATCAGAGAGATGAGAGAGGAGGGGGACGTGGTGTCCATGAGCCAGTTCCAGCTGGCCCCCTCTGTCATCCAGAAGCAAACCCAGGAACACGTCAGGGACATGCTGTCCCAGGTGCAGGACCTTCTGGGCCGGCTCACCTCCCTCCGGATGCAGCACCTGTTCATGATCCAGGCCTCACCGAGGTATCACCTGAGCTTCAACACCACCTTCCCTCCTGCAGCGCGTAGAATCGGATCAGGACGCGCTAAAAGGCTCATTTTTTTAAATTCGACGCATACGGTTCACGACAGGTATTTAAGCTGCCACCTTATTTTGATGAAACGTGTGTTTAGGTATGTGGAGCGCGTGTCGGAGATGCTGAGGCAGAAGCTGAAGCAGGCTGAAGTTCTGGTGCTGAAAGCTGCGTCGATGGCCGAGAGGAGGCAGGACACGTTACAGGAGCAGTCCATGCTGGAGCCTCGTGTCGGCCTGCTGGCAGGACGCACCCGGGAACTCCAGAAACTGGTACTGGGTTACTTTTATTTATGTTCAACAGGGGGTCGGTACTTTCCAGGGTGGAGGTTGGTAGGGCTGCAGAAAATAAAAACTCTGTCACGTGATGTTGGTTGAAGTAAATGTGAAAACATCAGAAGCACACCTTTCAGCCTCGCAGGAATAACTGTTTATTGTTTGTTTGTTTGTTTCAGATCGAAGCAGACATTTCAAAGCGATACCACAGCAGACCAGTCAACTTGATGGGGGTTAATATTTAGAGGACTCGGCGGATGTCCACAGAAATATTTTGTCATAATCAACAGTGAAATAAAAACGGTATTTAATTTCAACCCGAGTTGTTTTGTGAATTGCAGCTTCACTCAAAAAAAGTGTTAAAAAAATTCCACAGACTGTACAACTTAAAAATGAACTCTAATTAAAGAAATAAATTACTATTTTCTTGTTTATAGATATTTAACATATTTAGTGAATGTTGGTGACCAATTTGTTTGCATTTGTGCTTTTTTTTATTAGTGTATCCTAAATGTACTACTTATGACTCATATTTTAATTAAAAATATATATAAATTTTAACATTTAGAGCCAATTCCCAATGTTAAAAAAAATGTTTTGACAGTAGGTAAATGCCAAAATACAATAATTTATACTCTTTTAAAGCATTTTAGACACTTGTTTGTAATAAAAAAAAAAAAATAACAAGTGTAATATTTAAGGGAAATTATAAGTTGAGCGTTAAATAAAAATGATTCTTAAATATATATTATTACACTTCACAAACTGATTCCATAATAAAAACCTGTTAATCAAAACATGCAAGGGGAATTTCCGTCGGCTGATGAAAGCTTACAGACTAGAAGGTTCTGCGCATGCTCCGTGTGCGCGCGTGTTTTTACAGCGTGCTAGGCTAACCCGGCCAGCTAATAATTTTGCAAGTCATGGTGGGCCATTCAGTCCGGACAGGCTGGAGAATGTTTAAACAGGAAGCTCAGCGGAACTTTTAATGAAACCGGACTTGATTACCGGACCCAGGTAATTGTGGACTTGTGAGCATGAAGAGAAGGTAGCTCAATCTTCATGCGTAAGTATAATAAATTAAGACAATTTAATGAATTATCGCGTGCGCCGATACATGGGTGTAGTGTGTCATGGCACAAACTAAAGTCCGCAGACATAATTTGACCATAAATTGTAATTTATTGGCTGTGTACCGCTTTTTATCGTATAAGTTACTTTTTTAAGTAGCTACATTATTACGTTAGGTAGTAGCAAAGTAGCACAAGGCTAGCAGTGTTGGGTTTGACAGCTGAACGTTTCTCCAAATCCCGCCCTTGCTTCATTCCTATTGGTTTGGGTCTGCTGGAGTCATGTGACGTTGCAGCCGTCGAGGACTGTAAGTGGCTGAATTGTCTGTCACTCATCTTTTCACCACTTGTTGCTAGGGAGATTGTTTGACACCCTCTAAGGGCGAAAGTAAATATTAACAGAGGCACCTGTCACTTTTTGAGCTAAACTGAGATGGGAAATAACCAGTGTTGCAACACATCTTGTAATTAATACTTAATTGAGTAAGAAGGTGTATGGTTGTAGCCGGGTGGTAAAATATAAGGAGGCTAACGGCTATCGTAAGGACAAAGATAGGCGCAGCTGTGCTGGAGGAGGGAGGGACCCTGCCTGCCGCCTATCAGCTATCGTTGGAGCGCGTGAGAGCCAGTCCGGCGAGCTTCCTCGACTCTCTCATTCACCTTCAGCATCATCCCCCAGAAGTAGTTGTCCTGTCAAGGGTGGGGTGATGCGTGGCTCTGTTTTCATCATGTCTGCCCATCTGAATATCTAAGACTGAGGCTTTGCGCGGCGACATTGTCCTGGCAGGATGGAGAGGTTTCAGTGGGCCAGCAAGTCCTGTTTTCTTTTATTTACTTGTGTTTAATACAAATGTAGGTAAGATCTGCGAGCTAGTATCTGTTATGATTGTAGTGTGCGAGCTGATGAAGTGCTAAAATGTGATTTGTGTTTGACAGGAATGGGAAGAAGATACCCCGAGAAGTGGAAACCTTGTCTTGGACCTCAAACCCCTTTCAAAGTTACTTTTGAAGACCTTCTGCCCTCTTATGTTTGCATTTTTGTTTCCATTTTTTAGTGTGAGCAGAGCGTTGTTAATCCAAGATCGTCTGCCCCTTTTTTGTTCTCATTTTTTACTTTCATTTTTTTGTTCCTTTGTAAAGAAATGCTTTACCTGAAAAAGTACTTCACAGAGGGCCTGATTCAGTTCACCATCCTTCTGAGTCTCATTGGGGTGCGGGTGGACGTTGACACCTATCTCAGCAATCAGTTGCCCCCGTTAAGAGAGATCATCCTGGGGCCCAGCTCAGCCTACACCCAGACGCAGTTTCACAACCTCCACAACACGCTGGACGGCTATGGGATCCATCCAAAGAGTGTGGACCTGGACCATTTTTTTACTACACGGCGGTTGCTAAACGAGGTGCGCCAGCTGGATCGCCTCTTTGTGCCCAGTACCGAGCTCGATACCTGGCTAGTGCATCGTGACACCGAGACCGTGGTTTCAGCCAGCAGTCAGTCCAGCCCCAGTATAACCCTGGACAATGGGGCCAGCCTAGAGGACATTAACAACATAGACCCTACCCCGGCCATGAGGGGAGGAGGTGGAACACCTGAATCCACGTACAACTTGAACGCAGCGGACAGCAGCCTGGGAGCCGTGGCCCCAGAAGGAAACCAGGAGCAGGGCAACAGAAATGGCAACGACGACCTCACCAAAGAGGTAAAACTACTTCTCTCTGGAAAGCTGAGAAAGAAACAGAAAACACTTTTTTTTTTTAACATATATCACAAATGGATATGCACATTAATGTCTGGGGAATTAAATTCTTGATTTTGTGTAAATTAATTGACGACTCTGTTTAAAGGTACTCGGCGCAAAGTTACAAAGACGAGTTCAGAATCAAATTCATAACGTAAGAAACCAAACACTCGCAATTAATTTCTCCTGTTAATGGTTAACGTGTTGAAAACCTATATGCAATATTTGTGAACGGCTGCCAACAACAGAAACAGCCAAAGTGACTGGAAGTGGATCAAACATTAAAATTAATGACCGTATTTGTTTATCTACACAAACTACAGTCGGCCTAATGCAGGTCAGTCACGCGGCTCAAGCTTCCACGTGGTTTTCAGCTAATTCAGCCGAGCGATTTGTTTATGCTGCATCTCAGACTTCCATATGGATAAGACTGGAAAACTACTGGAGTGAATGGTTTCAAATCGCACCAGATGATGCAAATCAGGATAACCTTCTTTTATTTTATTATTGCAATAAGTACATTTTTAAAGCTTCCAAGTTAAACAGTAGCTTTTTGTAGCTTATTTCACAACACATTTGATCTAACAGCCTGAATTTGTTTTTCGTAATTAATTGGCGAAGATTTAAAGTATGACGTTCTATTGTACCGAACATAAGTTTACAAATGGAGTAGAAATGACATCACACTGCAAGTGTTTTTAGGTCCACACCCCTGGTTTTTTAAATCTGTATTAGTGTCAGATATTTTTAGTCAAACCAGTTGAGTTACATTTATAACAGCTGGTCACGTTTATGTTCATGAAGGGCGCAACTTTAAAAACTTCCTTCCTGTGAGCCTAACAGGACAGGAAGGAAAGATGTTAGTTTTATTACATTTAATTGTTGTTTGCATTACATTTGATAGCTTCCTATTGATACAAGCACTTAATGGACAAATTGAATTTGATTTCACACAAAGCCACAGATTTTCTTTATTTATTCATTGCTTTCTTACGACATGAAAACCACCATGCCAAAGTGTTTTATATTTGTTTGTCATCGTCTGTCGCATCATGTGCTGTTCTAAGATTACTTCAGCACAGACACAAAAACAGATTGCATAAAAAGGTCAAGATTTTCCATTCAGAGCTTTCCTTTCATGAGTTAACCATATCACTCATACATTACAAAAACACAACACTTGTTTGTGTCCAGGGCCTTTTTATCAGCAATTCTCTGGGTTCTTTCAGGACATTGACTTGATAGACATCCTATGGCGACAGGACATTGACCTTGGTGCTGGAAGAGAAGTGTTCAGCTACAGCAACCGTCAGAAGGACACCGAGGAGGAGAAGCCCAACCCTCAGGAGAACAAAGATGGCAACGAGGAACAAGAGAGCTGGAGGAACGGCATAAACTTACAGGGGGCTCAACCGGTGGACGGGGAGACGGGAGAGAGCATCCCAGAGCAGGTTTGTAAAGACTAAATGTTTCCTTACGAGCCGAGAAAGGACTTTGAAAACATGCAAATATGTCCTGTTGAAAGTTTAATTCATATTTTTGTGTTTGTGTCAACAAGATTTATTAAAGCACAGGAGCAGCCCATAAAAGAAGTTTAAATTATTTTCAGGTATCTGTCTTATCAGCAGACGTGCAGTTTTTCTTTTGAGCATCTTTGGGGGGGGAGAGAACAATAAGACAAAATGGGCAGTGCAAATAATTATTCCTGTGATTCTGAAAGAGCTTCAAGAAGAAAAAGAAACAGCCGGTGTCTAAGACCTTCAGAAAGACTTGACGTATTGCTCAAGGCCACTTTAAAAATTTTAAGTATGGCTCCTTGGAACCAAATCATTGTAAGAAAACAATCATCTCAAAGCTTTAACAGAGTGCTGTGGATTGATTATAACAAACCAGTGATCTGCAGGGAAACTGGGCTTTGGCATTAAAAAGATGTTCTGCCATGTTTCACCCTTTTTATAAACGCCTTCTTATGAAGCCTTTCAAACGATCTTCTTGCATAATGGCTTGCAATTTGATTCCCCCACATGTGTCCGTGCGGTGCAGCAAATGATGCAAATTGATAGTTCAGTCTGTCAGTGAGTCAACTTCATAGTGCGTAGAAATAAAATGTGAAGGGCTAAGTCTCCTCATAGCATGTTCTGGTGCTGGTTGTGTTTCCAGCTGACAGGTCTTGGCTCACAGACTTCACTGTCACTACAGGAGTGCTTGAGGCTGCTGGAGGCCACGTTCCCTTTTGGAGAAGAAGCTGAGGTAAAAATATAACTCTCTTCACCAGTTCACAGTCGTCTCATGCACTGTTCAGAAACATTCAAGTGCATTATAAAATGCCTATTAGAACGTGTTCTCTACCGAAGGACGCAGCAGATTACATCAAACCTTCACTTTGTCACAATAATCCCTTTCTGAGCAGCACGTTGGTGACAGAGGGAAGGAAAGACTCTCTTTGAACAGGAAGTGGTGAAGAGCTCTGTTAGGAAAATATGGAACAATGAGATCTCTGATATATGAGATGGAGCTTGGTTGTTCAGAACTTTGGACGTTAGAAGTATTTAAAATGATTTTCTAAATTTTACAGGGAGCCACTGAAAAGAAGCTAAACTAGGAGACATTTTGACTTCTGTCGTGGTGCATGCTTTGTAAACATTACTGCCAAGTTACTGTGGCTTTTAGTAACGTTCCCCAAATTTTCTATTACCGTAGTTTCCGGTCGCAGTTGTTAACCCAGAAATACAAGTGTCCAATGAGGAGGTTCCTTCCACGTCTCAGAGCCTCCTCCTGGCGCCTCCGCTGCCCCCAGCTGAGCCACAGTTGGACCTGGAGCAGCAGTGGCAAGACATCATGGCCATCATGGAGCTGCAGGTAAGATTTCATTCTTCAAAGAGATTTCTTCAAACTTTTGGATCTTAAAACTGTACGAAAGTGAAAATGGGACTCTTCACGAAAATGTACTAATTTGTTAACAATATTTTGGCATCAACACGTGAAAATGCATTTTTCTGCTTAACGAAGATCATTTTCATTCAAATACGAATCATTTTTGTTTGTTTGAACTCTTTTTTTTTTTTTTTTCCCACAGGCGATGGAAGTGAACGACACTTCGCTCCAAACCAGCTCCAGCAGTGGGAGCACCACGAACGAGACACCCGACTCCAACACGGTGGGAAACTTTGGACTTTCCACACGTCCCACACCAGTAAACCAGGATGTGAGCCTCCACCAGGCTTCCCTCCCCAGCTGCAGCCAAGACTTCCCCCACATTTTCAACCCTCAGCTGGACTCTGCAAGCGTCACCCCACGGCCCAGCATGCGCAGGCTGTCCTCCAGCAACTCCACCAACGTCAACTCCACGTTTGGAGCCACTAACCTGACTGGGATCTTTCTCCCGCCCGTAAACAGTTCCAGCAACGTCACATCTGCACCCAGCTTGTCCGATCCATTCACCACTCTGCTGGAGGAGTCCATGCTGGATGAGATCAGCCTCCTGGACCTCGCCATGGAGGAGGGCTTCAGCCAGGCTCAAGCCTCCCAGCTGGAGGACGAGCTGGACTCAGATTCTGGTCTTTCTCTGGACTCCAGCCACAGCCCGGCCTCCCCAAGCAGCTCTGAGACCTCCTGCTCGTCCGCAGCTTCTTCCTCCTCAACTTCTGCCAACTTCTCTGAGGAGGGAGCTGTCGGCTACAGTAGTGACTCTGAGGTGGCCACCGTGGAGACAGAGGAGGGGGCCGTTGGGGGTTACCAACCTGAATTCAGCAAGCTCTGCCGTATGAGCTACCAGGACCCCTCCCAGTTTCAGAACCTCCCTCAGCTCGACGGCATCGGCCACAATCACACTTACAACCTGCCGCTCTCCTCTGCCTTCGCTGAGCACCCCGAGCTTCCCGTTTCGACCGGGAAGAAGACGGTTCACAGCAAACACAGCTCGAAGCTTCAGCCTCCTCAGGACCTGCTCGACAAACACTCGAGTCGTGACGAGCGCCGAGCGCGGGCCATGAAGATCCCCTTGTCCAACGAGAAGATCATCAACCTCCCCGTTGAAGAGTTCAACGAGCTCTTAGCCAAGCACCACCTGAGCGAAGCCCAGCTCGCCCTCATCCGCGACATACGCCGGCGCGGCAAGAACAAGATGGCAGCCCAGAACTGCCGCAAGCGCAAGCTGGAGACCATCATAAACCTGGAGCAGGGCGTCCAAGACCTGAGGCGCGACAAAGCCCGTCTGCTGAAGGAAAAGATGGAGTTCCTCCGCTCCATCCGGCAGATGAAGCAGAAGATGCAAACTCTGTGCCAAGAGGTTTTCAGTCAGCTGCGGGATGAGGAGGGCCGGCCCTATCCTCCCAGCGAGTACTCGCTGCAGTACGGCGCCGACGGCAGCGTGCTGATCATGCCCCGCAGCGTGACTGCCGCTCAGCAGAACCGTAAGCCCGAGAAGAAACAAAAGGACAAAAAGAAGTGAGGGCGGACACATTCTATCACTTTGCTAAAATCAGTAAGAAAGATTTGTGCAGACGCGAGAGAGATGCCCTTTTTTCTTTGAGAAGATTCTGTTGGAAGAAAAATGGCGTTACTGCTCCTCCTGCTTTACTTTCTCCCTTTTCATTCTGTTCCTGCGTTTTCCTGGAAACATCTTTGAAGCAGAAATAGCTCCTTGAGTACCGTTTCATACATTAGACTTGAAAAGGAGGAATAGAAAAGGACAAAAACTGCACTACTAAAAGGAATATTAGCCGCTTTTGTTCCTTTTTGCACCAAACCACTGCAGACGGAGGCTCGTACGGTGGACTGACGCGGAGGTAAACACTGGAGATAAGGACGGTTGGATACCTATGCACTGAAGGTTTAAAGAACGATCAGATTATATCCCACTCTAGAGACTTCAGTCATTTTTTAAAGTAGATACTGAGGCTTTTAATTTTCAAATCTTCAGGCAAAGAACAGCATCTTATGGTTGTGGGTTAAGATACCAAAGGATGAAGGAAGTCCCATCTTTATAGAATGCCGTAACACCTGTACTAACCAAAGGTTGTGTGGTGCGTCACCTGATCCCTGTAACTCTTTATCTGTAGGTTTGTCCTGCTAATTCTAGTTTTGAGTGGCGGCATCAGGGTTTAGAACCCCCTCCCCCCTAAAACAAGGACCAGATGTGATGGTAGCAAGTTGAAATGTTGGGATGAGGAGTGAAGAGGCGGAGTGTTCGCGGGTAGCAACGTCTATAAGAAGTCCAGAGCGGGGGGGGGTGAGTAGGTGAAGAACAGAGGAATATTTTTGGGAGGAGGCACACTGCGTTGCAAAATGTATCAGCTTTCTTATAAATTATTCATAGCACTGTAATTTGTCTTTAAAAGGCTTGGCTGTTTGCATTTTGCCGTGTCTGTTGCTATTCCTTTGCTGCAGTTTTACGAAGGCTCTTTATAAACCGTTCATAATCTGTAGTGTAAACAAGGTTAGAGGTCATCAGCTTCACGGAAGGCTCGTCCTCTTTTTGTTTTCGTCGATGAGAAAACTTTGCGCGGAGGCTTTAATCATCAGAGGTCCTGATGATGCTGCGGTGGGCCAGGAGCTCCAGAGTACTGTATTGTTTGAACTAGTTGTGGCCGTCACGGGTCGTGTTCACGGGTCGTTTGTCTGCGTTGTTCTTCTCGGACGCCTCATTTCATTTAAAACATTAAAATGAAACCGGCTCAGTTGATGCTGTGGTTTAAGCAGCTTTATTCCTTTTGGATTAATTCATTTGCCCACCCAGCCAAAAGCAACTCGAGGTAATTTTTGTTAAACTGCTGTAAGGCCTAAATATTCAGTCCTAAGTGTTGGAAAAGCGAGCCACGTTAATAAATGAGGTAAAAGTGGAGCGTGTGAGATGACGGCGCGTTGTGGCCGCTTTAATACGAATGGCTTTTGTTTAAAAACGATCTCGTTATCGAAGGGTTTTGAGAACGGGGTGTGAACGTGTTCTCCAAGTAGAAGTGCTATTACTTGTGTGTTTGAATGAATCCTGTGGGTGCGTTGTATCGCTTTCTTTAAAAAATAAATACATAAAAAAACAGGGTTTGTTATCGCAGCTAAGATAGCAGTTAGGTTATTCTATTTACAAGAGGCTGAACAGAACACAAACATTAAGACGATGTCCAAAAATAAAAATATCTGAGAAACGTCCTCAAGTGTGATATTCAGGCATGAATCTGGTTCACTTTAATGTAACCCGGTGCAGAACCAACTATTAAGTACTGCTACTACTTTGTGCACTTTTTCTGTTCGTCTTGTTCTGTAAATATTTTCATGTTTTACGTAGCTTGTCCGGCGTCTTCACAACAGTCTCACTCTGCTTTTGAGTTTGGATGTAGTTCCCTGTTTGGAGAAATGTACCGGCAATCAAGACTTGTTTTTATCGATTAATAAAGTGTTTTTATTTTCACCTGTGACTCTTGTGCTCGTCGTCCGTGCTTTGATCTTAAAGACACTCGTTCGGCTGCTCGTTCCGAGACTTTCCACAGTTTTTAAAATAAACGAAGCTCAGGGATGTTTTTTGACGAGTGAACCTCGAGACGGCGTTTTAACAAAAAGTGATTTATTTTCCAAAAGCGACAAGCAAGACGAAGAACAGTACAAAGACTACAACGGCTAAATTAATCACAAAACCAGCTTTTCTAAGCGAACACCAAACACGTCTGGAGGAAACTGCCAACGTGAACTCAGCTCTGCTCCCAAAACACAATAAACCTCAAGTTTTAAAAGCAATGGCACAATAAAAAGGATCACTCTTAACTAATCGACTGTTTTCAGTCCAAGAAGAATTGAATGGGACACCCAAGTCTCAGCTCAGGGTTTGCTTCTTTTTTCAAGACTTCATGTTTTGCTATTTTGTAAAAAATAAAATTACAGTGAGTTAGTTTGTGCCGTCTGGGTTTGTTTACATGAAGTAAACGATGACATCCTGAACTGGAAATTAAAAAAAAACATTCTGTACCTGCCCTCGTTTTTACAAACAGTTTAAAACTAGTTAATTACAACAAACCAGTTTAAGGGACTCATTGCAAAGTATGAAATCGAACATGAAGTCACCATCAAGTGGTGCAGTTTAAGGGTTTACTCTGGTAGTTTTCCACATATTCAAATCTAAAATGCGGGTCTGCGCTCAGCGTAAACATCACTTGGCTGAATCCTCTGAAAACCACGACATCAATACGTCGGTATGTAAACAAACAAGGTCGCAAGTTTGACCCATTTTCAGTCCCCTCGGCTGTTTCCGTAGGTAAACAAACGTGGTAGTTGGCATCCGATCACAAATCTTTAAGTAAAAATTTAGTTTGGATTTGTTTTGTAATTTATGGTTTGTGGATTTCTTATGTCCGGTCGTCACGACTTTGCAATGAGCACCTTTTAAATCGTGGCACTCGGCCTGTGCAGGAAACGGAGAAAAACGACACAGACGGGAAACGATACTAAAAGTGACGAATGTTTACTCGAAACTAACACTGCGTTGTTTTCGTCTTTTAATCCATGAAGCAAATCTAAAGCGTAGAACTGATTCTATCCACACAAAAAGTAGACCCTGATGAGTGACACTACACCAAAAGACGAGTTCACAATGTCTTGCTGGTCTTCTCCCCCCACCCCCACACCCATCAGAAGCATGATGGAAGTTCTCCTGGACCTCCTCCTCTGTTAGTTTTTCTCATCTTTCTTCTCGTCTTCGGAGGGATACGAGTGCCAAGTGAGCCTCTCTTCGTAGAAGGAGATGACCACCTGCGGACACTTCACGTTGGCCTCTTTGGCCGGCACCAGGTCGGCTTCGTCCGAGTTCCTCCTGCGTCAACGAAAACATTGGACGGCAACATCTGAGTGTTTTTATCCCCCTCGACAAACAGCGTTCACTGGTGTTGCACTGCACAGCTGATACAGACCATTTCATGAGGAACATGAGTTCTCCTGTGGAATCTGTGGCACCGATGATCCGTTCTGGCTCCAGAGCTCGAGCGAAGCCCCTTAGCTTCTCGTTCTGAGGAACAAACAAGGTGACACCATGATTATCTCTTCTCTGTCTCTAAAGCCTGGCACTGCTGAAACAGCAGTCACATGCACTGGATTTCAATCTGTTCTGGATTCTGATCAGTTGTTTTCAATCTGTTCTGG